CAGAGACGTATTTACGCCAGATTCTCCTTAACCGAGGTTCTCCGACTATATTTTTCTATATTTTAGGGTCAGTGTCATTCGGCAAAAAGTGTTACGAAAAAGTGTAACTTCATTGTTATGTTACCTAGGAAACGTCAAACTTCATTGTTATGTTACCTGGGAAACGAAAAAGTGTAACTTCATTGTTATGTTACCTTGGAAACGTCAAACTTCATTGTTATGTTACCTAGGAAACGTCAAACTTCATTGTTATGTTACCTGGGAAACGAAAAAGTGTAACTTCATTGTTATGTTACCTTGGAAACGTCATCTGTTTATCAACAAATAAACAATGGTTACCTACATAGTTACATTACTTTACCTTACCTTTCATTACAATACCTTACCTTACATTATATTACATTTCATTACTTTACATTACATTCAGCTACCACAGACTCATCTTAAGCGTAACCAATTCAAGTTAAATAAGCAATGTCTTAATCAAACTTACCTCGATTGTAAAGCATGTATAAAGGAAATATGTAGAATAAAGCCAATACATAAACTTCCTTTCCGTATAGACGTATTTACGTCAAATTCTCCGGAACCGTGGTTCCACTGACAATTTTGTTCTTTCAACATAATAGTCCTGAGGGCGAGACGCCATGAATGCTTCAGATCATATTCCTTCTTCGCCTAGATCGTCCCAGCGGTCTTTTCCCTTCAGGCTAGCCAACCACTGCCCTCTAAACATCCCTTCGCTTTTCCTAGCTTCTGCCCACCTCAACCTCCTCGATGTAATGACCCTAACAATGTCAGGTGAGGAGTACAGCCCGTGAAGAAAGTTTCTCCATGATCCGTCTCCCTCCCTCTTTGGTCCAAATATCCTCCCCAACACTCTGTGCTCGCAGACCCTCAATGCAGCGCAGTACTCGCAGAAGCAATTTAAGTTACTACTGCAGGATTTGCCTGGAGGGACTGAATAAAGCCACGAAAACCACGCCAGGATATTTGAACCAGGAGCATCCGAAATAGACAGCAGGAGCGTTCGCCATTCAAGTTTCGATATGTGACTACAATGAAACGCCTTTCCTGCACTGTATTGAAGGGGTTTGTGTTCAATAAAATGTTAATCCGGGATTATTAATCGGAGCTTCCGATCTCGTGTGTACGAGACTTACGTATCTGCAGAAAGAATCTTCAGTTATTTTTAAGTTTAGCCGTTTTTATGTAAATGCATTTAGTTTCAGATCACTGTACGATGCATATCATGACGTCCACAGGAATAACAGCTTGAAATAGAGGTATAAGACTGTCGGGTTACGGAACGAAGGGTAAAAGTGGCACACGTGTCCAGATTTTAATTCTTTCTGTTCCACAGTGAGGCAGTGACAATTTCCGTCTGCCTAGGTTGATTGATTTATTTCTGTAGGAACGGATGCAATAAATTTGAAGAATTATCAATTGGTTTATGCTTTATGTTTTAAATTCATACCACGAATTAACAAATTCTAAAATAATCAGTAAAATAGGAAATTGTAATACAATGCCACTATTGTATTATAATGCGGTAGCGGATGCACTCTATGGAGTACTCTTGGTACTATGAGCAGAGGATTCCTCTTACTCGTTGTGCCATCTTTAGTGGAATTAAAGAAGTTCAGCCGGTTTTGGTACCTTTATCAATAAAGTGAATTAGCATTTTGACCTAGTTTAATCCCACTTTATGAAATTTGACATTTTAGACTCCCAGATTCGTTTCACCGTATAATCAGTGCAGTTTTGCCTAGAATTAGGAAGTTTAATCTTGAAACGATATTTAGGGATAGAATGTGCACGCTGATACTCCAGAGACCAAAACAAGTTGCTTGTGCTTCTAAATGTCGTACAAGGGAATGGTCCAGTTGGTCAGGTCAAAAGGCGCTTGTAAGGCTGTGAAGGACTTGATAAATCACACACCCAATAAATACTAAATAGGAACCAAGAAGCATAGGACTTAGATCAACCTCAGATGTTCCACACTTCTGTGACAGTTATAGTCCACAGAATTGTAGGTAGTTTTATCAAATGCATTTTGTGAGCTGTTTCATTTCTGATATATATGAGCCTGTGTGTGTCAGACGTTTCTGAAGTCTTTCACATTCTTACCATCGTCTGGCCCACAGACTTCACTGGAATCCACCAGGAAATACCACAGTGCTGCTAGACATGCTGCTGTCATGTGTGTGTATGGTGGTATAAATTTGAACTGCACATTCCAATTTTGGACACATTTTGTACACCCTTGTAGAGTGTGTTGGCAGCTCATATTTTGTGTGGAATCATTATTAGATAGTGTGGGGTCTGTAAATGATAAAAATTCCATTTGAGGTTATGATCTGATCAAGTGGACTATTAGCTTTTAAGGAAAATAATGTTTATTTATGTACTTTTAAATTGAGTTAGAGTGCAAATAGAAGTGTAAATATCATTGCTGATATTTGAACCATGTCCCATTGCTGTAGAATTCAAAGGTTCACACAGTAATAACAAATTTTGACTTTTAGACTTAACCAGTTTCAAATGGAGATAAAAAAATATGGAAAATTTCTTTTAAACTAAAATCACTTACCCTTACTTCTCTATATAGTCTTAATAAATTTTAAAAATTTTTGAAAAAAGATGCAGTGGACCCATCGATCCATTGTCCGTTAAAATTCTTAATTAATGCTCTGCAATTTGGGCATGTTTCGTGCCCTTTATACCACTTGCATATACATATTTTACAAAAAATGTGGCCACATGGTAGGCACAGAGGTTCTACATATGCTGACCTGCAAACTGAACAACTGCTCCCAGCATTTTGCACTTGGTCTGGATTTGCCATCATACAAATACCCTGTAAGAGAATTCATAACATTGTCAAATATTTAACAGAATTTTAAATGGTGTATGTAATCGAAGGGCTAATACTGAACATAGAAAAATCTCTCACATTCCGAGCAGGGATGCGGAGACCGACAGCTTCCAGAAGGGAAGGACAGCATTTAAAACCGCGGTAAACCTGCGCAAGGAACAGTGCATCACTACAATGCCTTCTCTTACGCAGGGTCTGGAGTTTTAAATATTATTATTATTTAGTGTTCTGTCTGACGACAGGTCCATTGTTCTGCCCAAAAAGAGCTCGCCAGTTTTCCCTATTCTCAGCTTCTCGTTTTCATCAGTAGTCATAATAAAATTCCAAACGACTGAGGCGTACTCGAGCTTGGATCTAACTAAGGTTACATATAAGATATACAGACATTCGAGAGAAGAGAACGAAAAGGTTAGTGTGTGAACCAGACCCAGAAACTTAATACACATGGTTCCTGCCCCCATGATAATCTTATATCTTAGGTATTATATCATCCACCAGCTTCAGAGAGTTGGGTTTTTCAAATTTTTACCCCTGTGAATATGATCAAATTAGAAGTTTTTTTATCAACAACAACATAAGTGCATCTGTAACTTTTTCAGCTCAGTAACCCACTGTATATTCCATGAAAAAAGTTGCTAAACATTCTGAACAGTAGGTAACTCTATTCCGAAAGTCAAACTGTCAATTTCTTGTCACCTAAGCATTCTAAATTTAATTTACAATAACCAAGAACAAAGATGATGTATTTTTATAGTTTAGATGCGTCATGTTTGTGTTAAAATTCAGTATATATTTATTTATTATTTCAGTCTATACACAAACTTAGTCATGGACAGTCATTCATCTGATCACAGACGCAGACACACCACACATCACAACTCTTGAATAATGAACAACTGACATAAAAATGCAAAATACTATCAAGATCAAATGGAACACCTACAAAAGAAATCTACAAAACAAATAAATCAACAAAAGCTTGCATTAATAGATATATATTAGTTTTAAAGATGAAAATAACAACAAAAGACCTGAAGATGATGCAATAGCATCGAAACATGTCGTAAAATAATAAGCGCTGAAATTGTAACATCGAAATAACGATGAAAAGCGCTAAATTTTAATTTTAACAACATTTTAAAAAACTAAGTTTGTGTATAGACTGAAATAATAAATAAATATATACTGAAAGATGATGTACTTTGCCTTTAAAGTAATTCATATTGCCATTTCAAGGATTAATAATAATAATAATCCGTGGCGTAACAGCCCTCTGAGAGCCAAAGCATTAAGTATATGGGAATTTTGTTAACAATGTTTCAGTATGTGTCGTGTTGTACAACTTCTGAATTCAACATACCTGATTCCGAAGCAAAATCCAAAGTGCAACTACCAACAGTCGTAATGCGGGATACAACATCATTCCTTTGATAATTATGTACACTATAACAGCAAAATATTCATATTCTTTTGCATATATGCTAAGAATATTCAGCCATGGCTGGATTGGGGCCACGCTCCGGTACATCTGGGATATGGCTTCCAGAAGTAGATACCATTCTCCCTACAACATGATCAAGAGTATGAGTTTTCACATTGTTGATGTCATTCTGCTGGAGTGCAGAAATAGTTTCTTTCCTGAAATTCAGTTTCAGATATCTACTGTCACTTCCCATCTCTGAACATGATAAGAAAACTGTATTCCGGATGGACTTGTATCCAATTAAACAGTGTTGGTCCAAGACAGTCAATCTACAGCCTACTGATGAAAACAGTTTTGATCTTGGGAGCTGTGAGGAAAAAATTACTTTACATTTCAAATTTAATTTCTGAAAACATTTACTTAGAAATTGTTAGGTTTTGTTCACATTTAATTTGGGGCTTCGAATGTAATTTGAATTAAGAATTATTCTTTCCGAAAATTTATGCCACACTTCAATGAATCTCCAAAATTTAATTCAGAAAAACTGTACACCTAGATTCTGATTATATTTACTGCTACGTTTTCTTAATAAAATCTAAGCCCAAAGTGATACTTCATAACTAAACTAGCTAATTAGGGAAAAAATTCAAGACATAATTTTCAGTAACATTTTGTGTAATATCCATTAAAAATCTTTCACACAATATCTGAAACTCCGCAAGATAAACAGATGTTTCATCTCAGACATATTTCTTAAAAAATATTAAGCCTTTCTTTTGTGAGAAATAAACTTTGTTTTGTCTGGACTTGCTACCAGTAATACCAAACAATCTGCATTTAGGCTTAAAAATAAAGGCATATTTTGTAAGATTAGATGGATTAACGTAAATAAAAAGTTTGAAGACAGACTTCAGGCAATGTTTAAGTATGAATATTTGCATGTTCATACATCCCTGATGTTTATTACTGGTTGAACTACATACCTATTACATAAATTATATTCAGACCTTTAAATTATTACAAATTTCTTAAGGAAAATGTACAAAAGACAGACATACCGGATGAAATCTTGACAAGAAAATGTGAGACATGAAGGGATGACCCTTGAAACTCAAAACAGAAGTCGGAAATGCTCTATGAGGCGACAGCAATGCTTATAGAGGGCATATGGGAAACAAGGTATTATGTACCATTTCTTCCTTAGCCCTTTGTATCTGAAGAGTAGCTAAACAATAATTACATTCTAAAGGGTTTTGACAACTGTAGATTACACTTAAAATTATTCATTGTCAGAACTTTTTCCATATTTTCTTTAAAACCCACGACATTTCGGAGACTGGTTCTATCTCCATCTTCAGGTGAGAGGTACCTACTCTGTTGTGTCCCTTAGAGCTAGTCTCTGTCACTGGACAATATATATCTATAACTATCTCAAAATATCCACCTGAGTACAGGTTTTGTCAGCAGATTATAATATGTATATGGTAAAACAAAATTGTAAGACCGCTCATAAAACTCTAAATGACCAGTAACGAAACCATAATAAATGACATCAAGTCCAAACCAAAGAAACGTTGGCATCCAAGTCATCGTAGGACATTAAAACCATACATCATAAAACAAAAAAACCTTCTACTAGCGTCCTATAAGCAGGAAGAAACATGTCTCTAGTGCCATTTTTTTTTGAGAGACAAGAGCCTACCGGGTAACTTAGGACGAATGCTGCAGACAATTATCAGTATCTACTAGACTACACTACTGCTGACTTCCTTGTTGATCAGAGGAATTTATATGGGCGAATTTTCCAGACTGGGTTGACTGATGGGGTTCGTCAAACATGCCATGTGAGCCGATTCTTTGTACTTCCTAAAAGTACTGTTACTTTCGAGTTGTAGAATCTTGACATCATTCCAACTTATCCGATGGTCCTCCTCATAAGCGTGTTTAACCAGTACTAGGTTTTAAAGAAACGATATGGAAAAAGCCCTGACATTGAATAATTTTAAATCTAAATAATAATTAAGAATTCAGTCTTTACTGCAATGAAACAACCCCTTCACCTTTACAGGGATAATGAACTTTGTAACTACTGCAAAATGGAAACCCCCTTACTCTATGAACAGATTATGGCCTTTTTACTGTACAAGTCAACTTACTCTACTCTCATAGCGCAGCCAGCCAGCAGGGATTGCAGCTACAGACGCTTTGAGGGCTACTGTTGAACACTTGATGATAACGTCTCTTAAGGCTATATCGCACAGAATATGACAGCATTTGAGGTCAGGCAAATCTAGGGCTTTGCTCTCCATGCTACAACAAAGGACAAATGATTATTATGGTCTTATTTACAGTTATTACACTAAAGTATGGTGACAGCAGCAGCAAGGTTGGAAAAGGGGGTGTTGCACACACAACACACACAAACAACCTTCTCTGAAGCCCTGATGCCATATACAATCCAAAGCAGTCAAAGACCACAGACACAACCATGAGTCCAAATATCTCGGGAAGGGAAGATACTCAATTCTCAACATTCTCCTCACCCTGGTCAACCTCCAGAGGGATGACCAGTTGAACTGGACGAGAGATCATAGACCCCTCTGGCGTCCGAAGAATGACAGTTCGGATCCTGCCATCCCTTCCTTCTTGAAGTTTCTCTAGCCTTCTTCCACATGTGACGTGGGCGTGTATCCTCCTGAAGAAGGACGACGTCCCCTAGTCTGAGGTTTGAACCTCTCTGCGACTGGCGGACCTCATGGAAACTCCTCAACTGAGTTAGGTATTCGCTCTTCCATCTTTTCCAGAAGTCTCCTGTAGCTCTTTGTTGTCGTCTGAATTCCTTCACTAAATCCCTCCTAGCTGCCGGCTCTGGCCGTTGGCAACGCAGTGAGGCGTTCCCCAACGAGAAAGTGCGCAGGCGTCAGTACGTCAGGATTTGCCTCGTCCTGCGATATTGGTCTGAAGTTCAGTGCGGCTTCTATGCTCACCAGGATGGTGTTGAGGCCTTCTTCATCCACCTGCGATCGTCCCAACACCTTTCGCAGGCAGCGTTTGGTGGATCCAATCATCCTTTCCCAAAACCCTCCCCACCAAGCCGCACGTGGAGCTATAAATTTCAAGGTTATGCCATGCTGAGCTAGGAACTTGTGTGTCTTGCTTGCTGTGAGGGCTAGCCAAAGTTCCTTCAGCGAAGTCGATGCCTGTGACTGTGAACAGTTTGAGTGTTGAAACACGTTCTGCCGGTAACAGAGCCTCTCTTTCTTGAGCAAAGCGATTTCTTGCAGGGAAGACAACAGTGCAAGACGTGTTTGATTGCCTGACGGGCTCTGAGTATCCAAAACTCGGATCTGAGTTCTGACAAACCGATGTGAACTCCGAGGTGGTGGAGGCAAATGTGTGTCTGCTGTATAAGCAGTCGAGAGAAGTGGTGTTGTCCATCAAGGAGAATTGGGTGGCGCTGCTCTCTGGATAACTCCGCAAACTGCAGACGTCCTCCGAGACGAATAAGTCCGTTGTCCAAGAATGGATTGAAGCGTGCTATCTTAGATCTTTCTGGCAGTGGTGAGCTCTTAAGGAGTGCGTCTAGTTCCATGGTGAAATGTTCTCTTTGAACAATTTGCAACCAGTAGAGGCGTGCGTTTGATAGCTCTGAAGCTGTCAATTCACCGAAAGTCTTCTCCTTCTGCCTTATATTTTGTTTGAAGCGGAGCACCCACGCTGTAATTTGGAGTAACTTCCAGTAGGAACTGTACCGTGTAGCGTCTAGAAGAGGGGTCGGTGTTTTCACCATGAAGACCTGATGAGCAAATTTCCTTACTTCCGGCAAAGGTGTGTCCATTGTAGGTGCATCGAGTGGCCAGTGATGCACAGGCTTTGACAGCCAAGAAGGTCCGTGCCACCA